TGTCACCCCGAGGGCCACCATGGTCCCCTCTGTTCCTGCTGGGTCTGTCCAGCCACGCTGGGATGGGTGGCTCCAAATGTCCCCATCCTGCCCTACGTCCCCTGAGCATCCCTCTCCCAGGACAGGCATCTCTGTGCCACCCAGGGCTGGGGACATGTCCCTGTGGGGCCTGTCCCCAGGTCCGTTGGCCCCCAAGGGCACCTCAGGGCTCCCCCTGGGGGTCCTGCCCCACACGGCATGGGCGAGGATGGGAGATGCAGGGGACAGCGAGGTGGGGACAGGGCAGCGCCCGGGGGGCAGGAGCGGCGGCGGGAGCTGGGGCAGGAGGGCAGGATTGGGCCCTGAAGTGGCACTGCCAGCCCCTGCCTCCAGCAGCCCCTGGCTCCAGTAGCCCCTGGTGCCAGCATCCCCCAGCTCCGGGGTGCTTCCGGCACCTTCGGGCTCTGATGTGCTTCCAGCATCGCCGGCTCTGGCGTGACTCCAGCATCCTCCAGCTCCAGCATGCCCCTGGTATCCCCCCCTGCTTCCTCCACCCTGGCATGCCTCTGGCATCCCGGTGTGCCCTGAGCACCCTCCGGCATCCCGGTGTGCCCGGAGCATCCTTTGGCATCCCGGTTCCAGTGCGCCCCAAGCATCCTCTGGCATCCTGGCATGCCCCGAGCATCCTTTGGCATCCCGGTTCCAGCATGCCCTGAGCATCCTCCGGCATCCCGGTGTGCCCTGAGCATCCTCCGGCATCCTGGTGTGCTCTGAGCATCCTTTGGCATCCCGGTTCCGGCGTGCCCTGAGCATCCTCTGGCATCCTGGCATGCCCCGAGCATCCTTTGGCATCCCAGTTCCGGTGTGCCCTGAGCATCCTCCGGCATCCTGGTGTGCCCTGAGCATCCTCCAGCATCCTGGTGTGCTCTGAGCATCCTTTGGCATCCTGGTTCCGGTGTGCCTCGAGCATCCTCCGGCATCCTGGCATGCCCCGAACATCCTCTGGCATCCCGGTTCCAGTGTGCCCCAAGCATCCTCCGGCATCTTGGCATGCCCCGAGCATCCTTTGGCATCCTGGTTCTGGCGTGTCCTGAGCATCCTCCAGCATCCCGGCTCCCGGTGTGCCTCAAACTTCTTCCAGCTCCGGCATCCTCCTGCTCCAGCATCTCGGCTCCGGCCCCCC